GTGGAAGTGAGGCAAACCGGGAAACACCTGAAGTTTTCCACCAAAGACTCCACACTGAGTAGATTGACCCCCACCGACAACACTCCGGGCGTTTCCGGCCGCTGCGCGGACATCACCACGCAGTGCTGCCAACTCATGAACGTAACCCCCGCCGTTCTCAACAACGTGATCTTCTGTCACCAGGAGAACTCGCTGTGGCCTTTGGACGAAGGAAAGAAAGTCAAAGAGAAGTTCGACGAGATTTTCGACGCCCAGAGGTACAACAAGTGCACAGAGCTGTTTCGGAAACACTGCAAGACGAAGCAACTGGAGGTCGAGTTTTTGGAAAACGAACTGAAGAATAGGAAGGAGAAGAAAGATTACGTGAATGCGAAGACGCAGACGCTGCAAGATAAGGAAACTAAATCAGAGGGGTTAGCAAGGGATATACAAACTAAAGATGAAGAATTGAGTGGTGTTAGGAACCGAATGAACGAGATTCTCGAGCTGGAGGGGACTTTGTCTCAGTTGCAGACGGAACTTACGAAGAAAGAGACGATGAAGAAGGGGATAGTGGAAGAGCAGAAGACTATCAAGAAGGGACTGGCTTTCGAATTTGAGGGTAGCGATGAGGATTTGAGGAACAAAATCAATACTTTTGAGAACGATAGGCAAAAGGAGGAGAGTCTAATTTCGAATTTAGAAACAAGAAAGAGCGAGTTTGAAAGTAAGAGTAAAGTTATTGCGAATTACACTCAGGAGGCTCAAACTGAGTTGGGTATATTGAAAGAACAGAAGAATCAGTATGAACAGAAGTGTGTTCAAAAAACGAATTTGATAAAGGAAGCAAGAAATGAGATGAAAGTTAAAGATCTGAAGGAGTTTCAAGACAACGATAGAGCAAGAGCTGCGCTGTGTGAGTTGAATGCGGAATTGAAGAACCAGGAGATTGTTTGGCAAGTTTGATTGACGGGAAAGACGAAGTACAGAAGAACTTACAGAACAAGATTGATAAAGTGAGGGAGAAAACGGTAGCCACCAAGCAGAAAAAGTTGTCTAAAGAAGGAGAACTGCAACAGTGTGAGAAGAAAGTTAGGGAGATAACCGGAGAATTAATAGCTTTAACAACCTCCGACTCCTTAATGGAAGATATGAAGAAGCGTATAGAAAGCATTGATAAAACTGTACATAGTTTGAACTCTACATTCAAAGAAGCAGAAGAAATTAAAAAAATACACACCTATAAATCGAACATACAGGGAATGGAACGCCAGCTGGAGTCTCTAGACAGTGAACATAAAACCCTCCAACAAAACGACGTCATCGAAGGAAAAATGGAAAGCGAGAAACATCTAATAATCGAAAAACAAAAGGAAATCAATAGAATCAAGTCGAAACATTCTGATAATTTTAGACAGCTGTTTGAAGAAACGGTTCCAGAGAGGAACCTCAAAGACGCCGTCGTAGCCAAACAAAAAACCGCTGACACTTTATTCAAAACCTTAATCAACGACATCAACATCAAACAAAAAGAAGTGACCACTTTGGAAGTCCAACGCAACAACCAGTCGGGAAAAATCGCCGATTATGAAAAGGAACTAAAGACCAATCGGGCCAAAATTTCAGAGGCTTGCAGCGGCCGCGATTTTGAGGAGACCTTCAACAGTACCTTCCAGAAAAAAGAGCGTCTTCAAATCGACAAAGGACAGTATAGATCAGTTCGAATCATCTATGGTCAGTTTATTAAAAAATTCGAAGAACAAACTCCATGTTGTCCCGTCTGTGAAACAGACTTCAGCAATAAAAGTACCGTGGTGCAGAAGATCATATCCACGTTGAAAAGTAAAGTAGAACGAGTTCCTCAGCAGTTGACGCGAGTTGAAAGCGAGTTGGAGAAAGAGGAGGCTCTATATAGCAAGCTCCAACAGTTGAAGTTGGTGAATGAAGAAACGGAATTACTCGAAAAGGAAAAGTTACCTAAGTTGAAGCAGACTCTGAGCGAAATTGAAGATATGTTGAGTGCGACTACAAGCGAGTTGGATCAGTTGAAGACGAGATTGACTGAGCCCCAGAAAATTCTTGACCTGTGTGGGAGGGTCATCTCGGATGTGGGTTCGTTGGATCAGAGTATCTCGGATGTTGAAAAGTCACAACGGACCGTCGATAATTTGAAGCAAAGCTTGGTTGAAGTCGCTTCTAAAATATCGAAGGAAGAAGTTGCAGCGGAGATTGATCATATTAAATTCGAAGTGAGCGAGTCGAGGGGAAAAGTGGAAATCATCACCAAAGACATTAACAAGCATAAAGATAGAATACAGAACTTGATGCAAGAGAGAAAGGAAGTGGTTGAAAAGCAACTCAAACTGAGGGATGGCATTCAAAATAGGCCACTTTTGGAAACACAGCAGGCCGAACTGACCGATAAAGTAGGGTCATTGAAGGAAGAAATCGCCCAGTTGTTGACCCAGTTGAATGCCGAAGAAATAGACCTCCAGAATGCGATTGAAAACAAGAATACCACCACTCAGAGGGATAAACAAGAAGTCGACGAGCAAAGACAAAAAGTAATAAATTATTGCAGACTGCTTACCGGGATAGATAAACTTCAAACCGAAATAGACGACTACTTGAAGAAGGGAATCACCGATAAGCTCACCACAATCGAAGAGAAATTGAAAGAGTACAAAAAGAAAGAAACCGATCTCGAAGACACCAAAACCAAAATTCGTGAAGCGATTTCCGAAAAGAGAGAGAATCTAGCCAAGGAAGAACTCCGCTTTCGCACTCTACAAAGCAACGTCGTCCTACGCGAAAAAAAATCATCAGAAGAAAAACTAGAGACCGAAGTTCGAGCCTTGAAGACCCGAATCGGCGGCTACAACTACGTCGACGAAGAAAAACTCCGCCTAGAAAGAACCCGCGAAAACTTAGACAAACAAATCAACAACATGAAAGGCCAAAAGAACGAACTACAAAACTCAATCGACGAACTACGCACAGAGTTGGCTCTCCCCGACAACAAAAACGCATACGCGAAATACAGGGAGCGACTATACAAGCTCGAAATCAGAAAGAGTATCATCAAAGACCTGGAGAAGTACATCGTCGCGCTAGAAAAAGCAGTCCTCGAGTTCCACAAGTCGAAAATGGTCCAAATCAACCGCACGATCACACACTTCTGGTGTAACACGTACAGGGGCAACGACATCGACCGCATAGAAATCAAAACTGAGTATGCAGCCGGAACGTTGACGAAACGCACCTATAACTATAAAGTTGTTCAGATAAAGAAGGGGATTGAGATGGATATGAGGGGTCGCTGCAGCGCGGGACAGAAAGTCTTGGCTTGTCTTTTGATTCGGATGGCGCTGGCGGAGACGCTCAGTTCGAATTGTGGCATTTTGGCTCTAGATGAGCCCACGACGAATTTAGATAGACCGAATGTTCTTAGTTTGGGCGACACGCTGGCTAGGATCATTAGTAAAAGGCATCAAGAGAAGACATTCCAGTTGATTGTGATCACGCACGATGAAGAGTTTTTGAATGCGTTGACTAGAGCTTAAGGGACGACGCATTATTATAAAGTGGAACGGGATAGGGATGGTTATTCTGTTATTAATAAGTAACAGACTTAACTTAGTAGCTAGAAGTGTAAAGTTGCCTTATTCGTGCTTCAATTCTTCTCCGACGTTTCCAGTATTCCAGTGCTGTTACATAATTAAAGAAGTTGGGTAATACTTCTTTTGCATTTTGTAATAATAAGTGTAAATTTTATAAATGTTGCTTTAAGCCAACAATAAAGTTAGTTGAAGTTAAAGTTCCTTTATAATAATTAAGAATTAATATACTTCCAGTTAATAAATTTACGAAAATCTTTTTTCATAAAGGGTACGGCATTTGCCAAACTCAATCTTATCTTAGCAAGTACTAGCCCCGCCCACCCGCCCTCGTCTCAATCTATAACGACTAAATTTATATCTGTTCAGTATATTAGATTCACCTTTCATCTGCAAACTAGATAAAATCAATCACTGAAATGGTGGCAGGATGGGTGGGCAGTGCTAATTATTTTCATCTGTCTAATGAGAGTGGGAACTAAATAGAATTTAGGATATGAAAAAGTAAAAAAAAAGTACCTGCAACTTTTTTTGTTATAGTACTTATTTTTAGATTTATTTCTTAATTCAGATAAAAAAAAAGAACGGGTGGGTGGGCGGGGCTAAGTTTAACTTTACTTTACAGTTTTATCTCAGCAGCTTCTAGTACCCCACCCACCCACCCTCTCTTTTCTTACAAGGTATTATCTGCCAAAATCGGTCTTACTTTAGCAGGTACTAACACCGCCCACCCGCCCTCTCTTTTCTTATAGAGAAGAAACTGATTTTGGCAGATGACATACCTTCCAAGAAAAGAGAGGGTGGGCGGGCGGGGCTAGTACTTCCTAAAGTGAGACCGATTTTGGCAGATAATACCTTGTAAGAAAAGAGAGGGTGGATGGGTGGGGTACCAGCAGCTGCTTAGATAAAACTGATTTTAGCAGGTACTAGCTCCGCCTACCCGCCCCCCATTTTCTTAGAGAGATCTCATTTGCCAAAATCAGTATTATCCTAGGAAGTACTATTTGCTATTATCTATTCACTATACATAAATGACAAGAATAAAAGAGGTTGGTATAATAACCAATTCCTCTATACATACTTTTTAAAAAAATATTTCTAGCGTTAGCCACACTGACACATTTTTTTAAATAAATGATTAGGCGCTTAAACTTTAGTTTGAATATTGTCATGATTGTCATTCATGTCACTGTAGAAAACTCATTGAAAAAAAAAAAAAACTAACATAGAACTAAGATCGGTTGATATAACCTATAATTTTATAATAATGGCCGGTATAGGTATCTAAGGATTCTCAAGCAATTTTAGTTGATGTTATACCATTTTGGAGTTTCACCAACTTAAAAAAACTTCAGACATACTGAAATGGCTTTTGACAATCAATGCCAACATAAATACAATGAATTCACTAACAATTTTTTATTTGTACAAAATTCTTAAAAATAATTGCTACTGAATTTCTCCACATGCTGCAATTGTAACTTTCTCAGTGGGTGTCCCGCTTTTGCTCCCGCACCGTTCCATCCTTCGGACGACGTCCATCCCGCTTATCACGTGCCCAAAAACCACGTGTTTCCCATCCAGCCACTCAGTTTTCGCCGTGCAAATGAAAAATTGCGACCCATTGGTATTGGGTCCAGAATTGGCCATGGATAACGTTCCAGGCCCCACATGTTTCAAGTCGAAATTCTCGTCAACAAATTTCCGCCCATAAATCGACTTTCCGCCTGTACCATTGTGGTTGGTGAAGTCGCCACCTTGGCACATCTATGACAACGTTAAGGAAAAGCCCTAAGAAACCGTATAAATTGTATTGTAGTGTCCAAGGATACAAAGTCTGGAATGATTCTGTGAAACGTGGACCCTTGAAACCCATAACCCTTTTCATGGGTGCATAAACACCTGAAGTTCTCTGCTGTCCTGGGAACCACGTCTGCGCGCAACATCATGGTAATCCTACCCACCTCAGTCTTACCAACCCTGACGTCAAAGTACACTTGCGGGTTTTTCACTTTCTTATTTTCGTCCTTTTCTCCTGCAGCCTGCAATAAAAACTCTTAATTGAAATTAATGATGAAAAATTAACTCACTGTGTCTGAAGAATCTTTATTGTCTGCAAGCAAGTCATTAACGGTTTTGCCAATAGTTTCACCGGCATGTTGCTGCAACCACGAGTCTTCAGACCACACAGGCCGCGTCGAACCCTCCTTAATTCTTTGTGGTTTGGCCAAATTGACCCGTATGGTCCTCCCGAACAGCTCTGAGTCATTCTACAAAAAACTAGCTCAGTGGATAAAAATTACCAATTCTACTTCTACCATGTTGTCGATGGCTGCAGCCGCATCTTCCGCACTCTCAAATTCAATGAAAGCGAACCCCCGGTGCTTTTCAGTCTCGTAATCTAGAGGAATCTGAATATCGACTATATCACCGAATGGAATGAAAGCAGCATTGAGAACCTTATCGTCCACTTCCTCCGCTAAACCGCCAACGTAAATCGTGCGCTTCGAGCCCGTACTCATCTCAAAACATTTATTTTTTAACTTTACGATTCAAATATTGTCCATAAACATTGAGATAACCTCACTTTAAAAAATGAAGGACGTTTTTGACGTCCGATGACTCGAAGCGTGCGCATGCGCACTCGTCACTCGTGCGAAATTTCACAATAATTCTGCCAGTAACGCTAATAGTGAGTTATCGACACCCACTCAGTCGCTTTTAGTTCAAAAGTAGTCATTTTTGAGAAATAATGAGGGTTTAATAACTCCGGGGTCCTCTGAAATGCTGGATGGAGCCAGCCGGAATTTGCGCGTTAGGGACTTTCGATTTTAATTGTGGCACTTTGTCACCTGTCAATCGCATTTGACAGGGGCAACGTACGACAACTTCCCCCGTTTGTCTCAGCCATGTTGGCCTGTATGTGTAAAAATTTTAAGTTTCACGCGAGAATTTGAGGCTGGAAGTCTGTAAGAAAACATTATGCCCAAGTGTGATGTTAAGACGAGGTACATACCAGCGACATTTGCTTGGACTCTACTGATTGTAGCAACAACGTTGTTCTTCTACTACCCGTGAGTTATTCCCGTCCAGTGTTTATGTTACCAAATTTAGCGAAACCGTTGTTGTTAGAGCCCGGTATTACCTGACGGACTACCCATGGGTCCCAGCGTACCAAGGCGTGATCACGTTCTTCGTGCTGGCCAATTTCACCCTGGCTACCTTCATGGATCCCGGAGTCATACCAAAAGGTGGTTAAAACGTGCAAAGTGGTTGAATGTACTATCGCAGGCAATAGTATTGTTGGTGTCTCAAGAGAAGGCAGTTGTGATTATCTGACCATGGTGGCATATCCTTTGATAATGTAATGAAAAAGTAAGAACCATGGGGGCGCTCCATGACCCGGTGATAAGTCACCCTAGTAGTGAGTTTGGCTCGTATTTTTGGTGTTAATGAGTTGTTTGTTGAACTAAGTGTGATAAGTATCCTTTTTTATGTTGTATCAATCGCCGGGGGTTCTGGAAGTTACATATTTGCTTGTGATTACAACTATTGGAAACAAATTACAACTGAAATGTTCCACAGTTTAGCTTTATCGTTGCAATACTTAATACCATCAATATTGGGTTTAATTAATTTTAATTACTTTTAATCAACTACCGCATTCCAATACATGTGATTTATGACACAAAAATGTAAAAAATAACGTCTTACAAAATTTCCTTCTTTGGCTAAATTTAAAAATTAAAGCCGTATTTTTTGGTAGTTTCAACATACAATGTGGAAATATTTTAGGGGCAAATTCATAAATTGATTAAGTAAAACATAGTTCATGATGCAGCGAATCTCGAAAATCTAAAATTAATTTGTTTATAAACTTAACCCACCTTGTGATTACTGGTAAAAAATAATTTTTGTTTATATAGTTATATTCTGAGTGAAGAAGAAAAAGTCTAGCTTTAGAAAATACAAAGTATGATTGATGTCACAACAAGGCGGAATTTATTTTTTATGTGGCGGTCCTCGAAAATATCGTTTGATATTATATAATATATTTTGTAACTAAACGAAATTCGTTTCCGACGTATTGCTAGGCTCAAGTGGGTCCTTGAAATAAATTTGATAAAACCGCTCTTCCTGAGTATTTGTGGAAAACGCTTGAAGAGGTGAATCATATTTATTTTAAGGCCGTTTGAAGCAACACTCAATTTAATACTGAATGTAGGACGAACTGCGGATGATTTTTTATTTTCCGTGATGTACATCTTCAAAACCTAGTCTTAGCTTTAAAGTCGTGTCAGACGAACAGATGTGGGTTCTCTAATTATAACCTTAATTTAAAATCGCTTTGTAATAGTGACTGAGAAAATCGTAACTGTGGAGGCGCTGCGATGTAATTTGTGATGGTTCAAAATAGATTTCTAGAATACGAAAAACGTGGTCTCCCGTTTCCGCCTGTCTGTCGTCGAGTTTTCACTCTGGACTTCCAGATTTTTTGAAAAAAAAAAATCAAAGTTATATAACATTTTGCAATTTAAGTTTGAAACTGCGAAGCCGACCGTTCGAAATCCTGCAATTAAATCGTCAATCAAAATTTATTCATTTATCCACTTCCAAAAAATTGATGGCATCATCTGAAAATTTTGCCTAGTAAATCTTGCCTGAAATATGGGAATTATTATGACTGTACTTGTGTTTATCAATGCACTCATAGTTTTTAGAATTATTTACACAAGGTGACTCAAAGTAATTATTGATGAGGCAATTTATATTATTAATTGATTCAAGAACAACTCACTGCATTTATCCAAATTTGACATACGTGCCCTTGAAAAAATGTTAGTGTTGTAATCACAAAGTTCTTTGCATTAACATTACATACATAAATATCTTTATTTTAACTTATGAGAGTTATCATAACAATAAAGTTTGCGAAATAAGATCTTACAATTTTTCGAAAAATCTGGATTTTTTACCTTCGACCAGCTTTTTGGTATCACAATTTTTTATTTTGCAATTTTATTTTTTCAATGTTTCTTTCGATTGTATAGTTTTTTGTTTTTTTTATGTCCCAATTTTCCAATTATGCGATTTTCCGATTTCTTTAATTTTCAAAATTTCAATTTTACAGTATTTCGTTTATTCGATTTTGCACTTTTTCGATTTTTAAGTTACTCAATTTTTCTTCAATTTTCCAAGCTCTTGAGTTTTCATTTTTTTGATTCGAAAAGTTGAAAATACGAAAAACTAAAAAATCCGAAAAAATTGAAAAATCAAAAACTGCAAAAATGAAAAATTACAAAATCGAAAAAATTGGAAATCGAAGAACTAGAAACGAAAATTTGAAACATTGAAAAACTAAAATCGAACAACTTAAAAATATAAAAAAATAATTAATTAAGAAAAAACGAATCGAATCAAAAAATATCGCCAAAATTTTAAGAATTGTAAGCATTATTACATATTTAAAATAAAAACTAGAAAAATTGCAAATCAAAAATTGAAAAAATGAAAAATTATAAAATTTGAACATTGAAAACCCGAAAAATTGCAAATCGAAAAATCAAAATGTAAAATAAATGAAAAAGTTTAAAAATCCAATCATTCAAAAATGGAAAATTCTAAAATTCTAAAATTGAAAAAGTGAAAAATCTTAAAAATTATAATTATTACATATTTTAAAACGAAAACTAAAAAAAAGTAAATCGAAAATAGAAGAAGCGAAAAAAAAAAATTGAAAACCCGAAAATTGCCAGCCGAAAAAAATAAGAATTGAAAAATTTGTGTTGAATAAAAAAATATATAAACCTTGAAAATTTGAAGAATTGAAATATTGAAAAATTAAAAATCGAAAAATTGAAATGTAGAATAAATGAAAAAAAATTAAAATTCAGTAATTCAAAAATGTAAATTCTAAAATCCTAAAATTGAAAATGTGATTTTTTTTAAATTATAAGTATTACGTATTTTAAAACGAAAACTAGAAAATAGGCAAATTAAAAATTGGAGAAACGAAAAATAAAAAAAACAAAATTGAAAACCCGAAAATTGCCAATCGAAAAATATTAAAATTGGAAAATTTTTATTGAATGAAAAAATATATAAACCCGGAAGATTGAAAACTCAAAAATTTTATAGTATAAAGAAAATAAAAAACCAAAACGAGAAATTGAAGACATGAAAAATTGAAAAATTAAATATGTATTGAAAGCTCGTCAAACTTCAAATCTAAAAATTGTAAATCAAAAAACCGAAAAATTGAAATTGAAAAAAAGTATAAAATCGCAACATTGAAAAATCTAAAAAATGTAAAATTAAAGAAAACGAAAAATTGCAAATCGAAAATTTGAAGAATTGGAAAATTGAAAAATCAAAAATCGAAAAATTGAAATGTAGAATAAATGGAAAATTTTTAAAATTCAGTCTTTCAAAAATGGAAATTCTAAAATCCTAAAATTGAAAATGTGAAAATTTTTTTAAATTATAATTATTACGTATTTTAAAATGAACTAGAAAAATTGCAAATTAAAAATTGAAGAAAAGAAAAATAAAAAATCTAAAAATTGGAAAATTTTGCTTTGCAAGAAAGAAAAATTATAAAACCAGAACATTGAAACAATAAAGAAAATAAACCCTAACGAAAAATTGCAAATAGAAAAATTTAAAAAATAAATATTGAAACTTCAAATCGAAAAATTGCAAATCAAAAAATTGAAAAAATTGAAATTGAAAAAACAAAAAATTATAAAATTGGAACATCGAAAAATCTAAAAAATGTAAAAATATAGAAAACAAGAAATCGAAACGAAAAATTGGAAATCGAAAATTTGAAGGAATTGAAAAATTGAAAAATTAAAAATCGAAAAATTGAAAAGTAGAATACATAAATGAAAAAGTTTTAAAATTCAACAATTCAAAAATGGAAAATTCTAAAATTGAAAAAGTGAGAAAAAAAGAAAAATTGCATGAAGACATGAAAAATTGAAAAATCTAAAAAATGTAAAAGAAAACAATTCGAAAATTTGAAGAATCGAAAAATTGAAATGTGAAATGAAAAAGTTTTAAAATTCAATAATTCGAAAATGGAAAATTCTAAAATCGTAAATTGAAAAAACCAAAATTTTTTAAATTATAATTACTACTAACATATTTTAGAATGAAAACTCGAAGAATTGCAAATTAAAAATTGAAAAACGAAAAATAAAAAAATCTAAATGAAAACTTGAAAATTGCAAATCGAAAAATCTAAAAATTGGAAAATTTCACATTGAAAGAAAGCAAAATTATAAAACCAGAACATTGAAAAATCTAAAAACTTAAAAAAAGAAAACAAGAAACTCAAAGGAAAATTTCAATTCGAAAAACTGCAAATCAAAAAATTTGAACAATCGAAAAATTAAAATTCAAAGAATTGTAGTGTGGAATAAATGAAAAAGTTTTCAAATTCAATCATTCAAAAACGGAAAATTCTAAAATCCTAAAATTGAAAAAGTGAAAAATTTTCAAAATTATAATTTTTACATATTTTAAAATGAAAACTAGAAAAATTGAAAACCCGAAAATTGCAAATCGAAAAATCTAAAAATTGAAAAATTTTGCATTGCAAGAAAGAAAAATTATAAAACCAGAACATTGAAACAATAAAGAAAATAAACTCTAACGAAAAATTGCAAATAGAAAAATTTTAAAAATAAATATTGAAACTTCAAATGGAAAAATTGCAAATCAAAAAATTGAAGGAACCAAAAATTGAAAAAACAAAAAATTATAAAATCGGGACACTGAAAAATCTAAAAAATGTAAAAATAAAAAAACAAGAAACTGAAAAAAAATTGCAAATCGAAAAATTGGAAATGTGGAATAAATGAAAGAGCTTTAAAATTGAAAAAAATATCAAAAATGAAAAATTCTAAAAAGGTAAAATTGAAAAAGTGAAAAAATTTTAAATTTATAATTATTACGTATTTTAAAGTTAAAACTTGAAAAATTGTAAATTAAAAATCGAAGAAACGAAAAATAAGAAATCTAAAAATTGAAAACCCGAAAATTGCAAATCGAAGAATCTAAAAATTGATAAATTTTGGATCGAAAGAAAGAAAAATTATAAAACCAGAACATTGAAACAATAAAGAAAATAAACTCTAACGAAAAATTGCAAATAGAAAAATTTAAAAAATAAATATTGAAACTTCAAATGGAAAAATTGCAAATCAAAAAATTGAAGGAACAAAAAATTGAAAAAAACAAAAAATTATAAAATCGGGACATTGAAAATCTAAAAAATGTAAAAATAAAGAAAAGAAACTGAAACGAAAAATTGCAAACCGAAAATATGAGGAATCTAAAAATTGAAAAAATAAAAAATCGGAAAATTGGAATGTGAAAGGAAAAAGTCTTAAAATCCAAGAATGGAATATTCAAAAATCGTAAAATGGAAAAAGTGAAAAAAATTTAAAATTATAATTATTACATATTTTAAAATGAAAACTAGAAAAATTGCAAATTAAAAATTGAAGAAAAGAAAAATCTAAAAATTGAAAATTCGAAAATTGCAAAATAAACATTGAAAAACCGAAAAATTGAAGACATGAAAAATTGAAAAAATAAATATTGAAAACTCGTGAAACTTCAAATTGAAAAATTGAAAATCAAAAAAATAAAGAAACCAAGAATTGAAAAAATTGAAATTGAAAAAAAAAACTTATAAAATTCGAACATTGAAAAATCAAAAAAATTATAAAAATGAAAATAAAAAACCGAACGAAAAATTGTAAATTAAAATTTGAAGAAATTTTGAAAAATTAAAAATTGAAAACCCAAAGACATTTTAAATCGAAAGATTAAAAAATCGAAACATTGAAGAAACAAGAAAAATGAAAAATTGATGAAACAAAAAATTATAAAATCGAATATGTAATTGAAACACAAAGAAATTAAAAAAGCGAAACTTGAGAAACTCAAATCGAAATATTGCAAAATATAAAATTGAGAAACTCAAAATTTGGAAAGTTGAAAAACGGGAGAAACAAAAAAATTAAAGGAATTGAAATATTGAAGAATCGAAAAATTAAAAATCGAAAAATTGAAATGTGGAATAAATGAAAAAGTTTTAAAATCCAATAATTCAAAAATGGAAAATTCTAAAAGCCTAAAATTAAAAATTTGACAAATTGCAAATTAAAAATTGAAGAAACAAAAAGTAAAAAAATCGAAACATTGAAAAATTTTGTACAGAAAGAAGGAAAAATTATAAAACCAGAACATTAAAAAACCGAAAAATTGAAAAATTAAAAATTGAAAGTTCGTTAAACTTCAAATCGAAAAAATGCAAATCAAATAATTGAAGAAACCAAAAATAAAATTGAAAAAACAAAAAATTAGAAAATTCATGCATTGTATAATCAAAAAATTGTAAAAATGAAGGAAATAAAAAAGCCAACGAAAAATTGTAAATCGAAAATTTGAAGAAAGGAAAAATTAAAGAATCGAAAAATTAAAAATTGAAAATTCGAGAAATTTCAGATCGAAAGGTTGAAAAATCTAAACATTGAAGAAACAAGAAAAATGAAAAATTGAAAAAACAAAAAATTATAAAATCGAATATGTAATTAAAAAAACAGAAAAATTAAAAAACCGAAACGAAAAATTAAAACGCGAGAAACTCATATCGAAATATGGTGCAATCTAAAAATTGAAAAACTCAAAATTTGGAAAATTGAAAAACTGCAGGAACAAAAAAAAATGTAATTGCAGAATTGAAAAATCGAAAAATTGAATTGCGCAATAAATGAAAAAGTTTTAACATCTAATAATTCATAAACTCTAAAATCCTAAAATAGAAAACTAGAAAAATGCAAATTAAAAATTGGAGAAACTAAAAATAAAAAATCTAAAAATTGAAAAATTTTGCATTGAAAGAAGGGACAATAATTATAAAACTAGAACATTAGAAAACCGAAATATTGAAAGCTCGTGAAACTTCAAATCGAAAAATTGCAAATCAAAAAATTGTAAAAATGAAGAAAATAAAAAATCCCAGCGAAAAATTACAAATCGAAAATTTGAGGAAATGAAAAATTACAGAATCGAAAATTAAAAATTGAAAACTAGAGAAATTTAAATTCAAAGGTTGAAAAATCTAAACATTGAAGATTCAAGAAAAATGAAAAATTGAAAAAACAAAGTTAGTTTTAGTTTTTATAATTTTTCGATTTTTCTACTTTTCGAATCAAAAAAGTGGAAGAATTGCAAAATTGTAAAAAAGTATAATCAGAAATGAAAAAGTATAAAATGGAAACTTTGAATAATCGAAAGATTAAAAATTGAGTAATTTAAAATTCAAAAAAGCCAAATATGTGTTGTAAAATTGAAATATACAAAATTAAAGAAATCGGAAAAATGAAAATTTAAAAATCAGGAAAATGAAAAATAAAAATCAAGAACCTGGGAAGCTGAAGAAACGAAAAATTGTAAAATCGACAAATTTGAAAAATTATAGAAAATGAAATTCAAATCGAAATATTACAAAATCAAAAAATTGAAAAACTCAAAATTTGGAAAATTGAAAAACTGGAGAAACAAAAAAATGCAGATTTTCAATTCAAATCAAAAAAGCTGCGGGAGTATTATCTACGCCACTGGTTTTTACTTTATAGAAGTTATCAGAAAACAAAAATCGCAAAAAAATTTCATAATTTTCAAAACTTCGACCTTTTTTTTATTTTATAATAAATTTTATTGTGGTGATTTTTGTGTTCTAATTGTAAATTCGTGTCAAAATTTCCATGACATTTTTATTCGCATTTTTGAAAAATATGTATTTAGAAACCTTTTGCGTCTTTTTTTTAATGAAAAGAATGTTGGAGACTCCTAGTGTGTGCCTTAAAGTTGTGCAATAGACTTAGGTTTGTGCGCACTTCGTTCTGCGCATTTTGTACTTAAGTCAATTTGGTATTGGATAATGACAGTTGGCCTCCTTGTGAGACACCAACGATACTTTTGCGAGCGATAGTACGACGACGTCTTTCAGCTCCCCCTGACGAGGACCGAGAAGATGACTTCCGGGCGCCACTATACAAGAACGTTGAGATAAACGGGATTACAGTCCGAATGAAATGGTGTGTCACCTGTAAATTTTACAGACCACCGCGATGTTCACATTGTAGTGTTTGTAACCACTGTATCGAGGTGAGATGGGTTTATTTTAAGATAAAATAATAATGAAAAAAATTATCTGGTTTTGCAGACATTTGATCATCATTGTCCATGGGTCAACAATTGCATAGGAAGAAGAAACTACCGGTTTTTCTTTTTCTTTCTCATATCACTTAGTATACATATGATTAGTATATTTACATTAAGCCTAATTTATATTCTCAAGTATGAAAACACATTCTCCAATGCAGAACCAATCGTAGCGTATCCTTTTTATCGTCGGATTTTGTTTCTAGTTGGTTGAAAATGATCGATGTCCTCCTTAACTACACACAGCATTGTGTTAATGGGTTTGGTAGCGTTACTAGCGATACCAATTTTTGGCTTAACAGGGTTTCACATGGTGTTGGTTTCGAGAGGTAGAACAACCAATGAACAAGTTACCGGTAAATTTAAAGGTGGTTACAACCCGTTCTCTCGGGGTTGTTGGGATAATTGTTGTTACACCCAATTCGGCCCCCAATTTCCTAGCTTAATCAAGCCCCACAAATACAATGTGAAGCGAAAACACTGCCCTCACGGGCCCATAGCGACCATAACGAACGACAGCCAAGTGAAAACGTACATGGACAACAGCAACGGCGTGCGAAACATCAATTCGAATGCGTACAACAAGGTAGATCATTGACGAATATCGCGAAAAGACGATGTCTTAGAATTTTGTTCTGTTCCAGTTGTCTCCCGGCCGCGACGGCTGCGAACTCGACATGGAGCCCTCGGCGTCCCAATCCCAAGACTGCGAGCCCACGCCCCCGCTGCAGCAGCACGGCTCGAAAAGCAACTTTTTTCTACCGCCGATGGAAGGCGAATCTCCCAGACATCCCCGAGGTGTTCACTACCCAAGAAGTAGTCCCCATCCTAGGCCGAGAGGCCTAGACCCGAACCGGAGCGGCACACCGGAAAGCTTGGGGCCTCAGAGACCGTCGCCCACGATGCAGCAGAGGATCAAAGCTCTCGGTGTGCCAACTCCATTAGCAATGTCTAGTCCAGTTAGGAGGTGAGGTGGAGAGATTTTCCTTGTGATATTTATAGTGATGTCATTGCCCATGAACAATAAACACATTCTCATGTATTTAATGCGAAGCATGGACTCGTTTATGATTTGTTCCGCTCCTTGTCTAGCACACAGTGTGGGTCAAGAATTGGTACACTGAGCAGCAAATTTTGGCTTTATTGGCCGCTATTTAAGTGGCAGCGTAGAAATCGCGTTAGTGGGGATTTTTTGTGAGGTTTAGCGGCGGTGTTGCCAATTCCAAAGACGCTTCGAATTACCGAATTTTCATAAAAAAAATGAAAAGTTGACTTGCGACCGAATTTTTATAAATGAGAATTAAACTTTTCGTATAAAATCCAAGAATCACGCTGCCAACTAAATGTGAACTGAAATATACAGGGTGAGTCACTAAACGCCCGGTGCTCGATATCTCGTTCTGCGGTTCTTTGAGGACTATACTTCAAAATTATGTTTAACTATACAGAGTGTTCTGTTTTAACACGCATACAACTTGATGTTTTTTAATGAAACACCTATATATTTTTACATATTTTGTGATTGACTTAACTAACGCAGTAACCATCAGTATCAACTTTAAATATAGAAAATAAAGAAAAAAAAAACTGAATAACATTCAGTAATAAAATATAGTGTGTTCTATTTGAAAAAAATTGAAATATCGAGATTGGAAAATTATAATAATTAAAATATTTTTATAAATACTCTGTATATGCAAATTTAATCTCATTAATGTCACAACAAAGCGCGTATTGTAATACAGATTTTAAAAATAAGCATATTACAATTTTTTGTGAACTCTTTCATTGTCAAAAAATTTTGCGAAAATTGGAATAACGTGGCAACGTCGCATTGTAGTTTCAAAAATAAACGGTGGTTGAAGGCCTAAGAAAAGGCCAGTTAAAACACGTAAAAATACCTAGGGTGTTGTATTAAAAAAAAAAAAACAAACAAATTTGTGTGTGACGGCTTAAAAACAGAACACTCTGTATAGTTAAACCGTACAGCTTTTACTCACCTTGTACAATAAATGAACTCACAATTTTTTTTCCAGAATTGAATGTTATTAAAATTTTTCTCTCAGGCGTGGTTTTGCAATGCGAGTGAAATAAATATTTGAATAAATTTATTCTTATTGTAAAGTCGATGAAATTTTTGTTTCTTTTGAGGAAACAGAAATATTTCTAAAAATTTTCCGACTTTTAAAATTTCTGGTGTTTAATTTTTCATTTCTTCAAATTCTCAATTTGCAATTTTTCGTTTCGGTTTTTTATTTTCTTTATTTTTCAATACAAAATGTTTTTTTTCGGTTGATAATTTTTCGATTTTCCACTTTTCCGTTTTTTTATTTTTTAGATTTTTCAACTTTTCGGTTCAGAAAATGGAAAAATTGCAAATCAAAAATTGAAAAAACGAAAAATTAAAAAATTGAAAAATTGAAATTTCGCATTGAAAAAAAAGTAAAATTATAAAATTTGAACATTGACGACATGAAAATTGAAAAATCGAGAAATAGTTGGCTTGAATATTTCAATTCTTTAATTTAATTTCGACAGAACTTTCCTCGCCCCTGAAGTACATTAAAAAATTATAAAAATTTTTGTTTTCTGATAACCTCGATAAAACTAACTTTTTTAACTGAATTTTTAATTTTTTTGTTCCTTTAGTTTTTCGATTTGCAATGTTTCGAATTTTGAAGTTTAAATTTTTCAATGTAAAATTTTTCAATTTTTGGATTTTTCGGTTTACAATTTTTCGATTTTTCAATTTTTCGTTTCTTCAGTTCTTCCATTTTGCAGTTTTTCGCCTTTTCAGTGTTCCGATTTTCAACGTTTTTTGGATTTTTAATTTTTTCAATTTTTCAACTTTTCGAATCAAAAAATGGAAAAATTGCAAATCAAAAATTGAAAAAACGGAAAATTAAAAAAAGAAAAAATTGAAAAATTTTACATGGAAAAAAAATTATAAAATTTGAAGATTGAAACCTGAAAAATTGACGTCATGAAAAGTTGAAAAATCGAGAAATACTTTCAGAACAGTAGAAAAAAATTGGTCGAAGGTTATTTCGACAGAACTTTCCTCGCCTCTGAAGTACAGCCAAACATTATAAAAATGTTTGTTTTCTGATAACCTCTATAAAAATAGCTTTTTCAATTGAATTTTTTTGTTCCTTCAGTTTTTCGAATCCCAATTTTTCGAATTTTCAAGTTTAAATTATTCAATTTTCCAACTTTTGAATTTTTTCAATTTTAAATTGTGGAGTTTCATTTTTTTACTATAGCATTTTTCGGTTTTTCGATTTTGCGATTTGCAATTTTTCGGTTTACTATTTTTCGATTTTTCACAATTGTTCGTTTCTTCAGTTCTTTAATTTGCAATTTCTCGATTTTCCACTTTCTTGGTTTTGCATTTTCTTGATTTTTCAGTTTTCTCATTTTCCACTTTTTTCGATTTTTCAACTTTTTAATCAAAAAATGGAAACATTGTAAATCAAAAATTGGAAAAACGAAAAATTAAGAAATTTAAAAGTGGGAAAATAAAAAAATTGAAAAATTTCAGAAAAATTATAAAATTAAAACATTGAAAACCTGAAAAATTGACATGAAAAACTGAAAAATCTGGAAATACTTTCAGAACAGTGGAAAAAAATTGGTCGAAAGTTATATCGACAGAACTTTCCTCGCCTCTGAAGTACCATACATAAAAATTTTTGTTTTTTGATAACCTCTACAAAGCTAGCTTTTTTAACTTGAATATTTCAATTAAATTTTTCATTTTTTTTTGTTTTTTCAGTGTTTCGATTTGCAATTTTTCGATTTTTCAAGTTGAAATTTTTCAGTTTTTCGGTTTAAAATTTCTCGAGTTGATTTTTCGTTCCTTCAAATTTTCGATTTGGTTTTTATTTTCTTTATTTTTTCAGTGTCAAACTTTTCAATTTTTGAATTTTTCGATTTTTCACTGTCTCAATTTTTCGTTTCTTCAGTTCTTCGATTTGCAATTTTTCGATTTTCTACTTTCTCGATTTTTCAACTTCTCGAATTAAAAAGTGGAAACATTGTAAATCAAAAATTGAAAAAACGAAAAATTAAAAAATTTAAATTGGAAAAATCAAAAAATTGAAAAATTTCACATTGTAAAAAAGAAAAATGATAAAAATTTGAACATTGAAAACCCGAAAAATGACGACATGAAAAATTGAAAACTCGCGAAATAGTTTCAGAACAGTAGAAAAAAAATGGCCGATGGTTATTTCGACACAACTTTCCTCACCCTTGAAGTACAACCAAGAATTCTAAAAATTTTTGTTTTCTGATAACCTTTATAAAGCCTAGCTTTTTTTACTTGAATTTTTCTATTCTTCAGTGTTTCATTTTTTTGGTTTTTTCAGTTTTTCGATTTGCAATTTTTCGAATTTTCAAGTTTAGTTTTTTAAAATTTTCAATTTTCCAATTTTTAGATTTTGCAGTTTTTCGATTTAAAATTTCTCGAGATTAATTTTTCATTTCTTCAAATTTTCGACGTGCAATTTTTCGTTTCGGTTTTTATTTTCTGTGTATTCTAATTTTTCGGTTTTTCAATGTTCCGAAGTTATAATTTTTCTTTTTGTAGAAGTTTTCATTTTGGGATTTCTCAGTTTACAATATTTCGGTTTTTCAACGTTTAGATTTTTCTTTGATTTGCAGTTTTTCTAGTTTTCATTTTATATATGTAATGATAATAATTATAAAATTTAAAATTTTTCAATTTTACGGTTGTGGAATTTCTCCATTTTTCAATTATTGGATTTTAAAACTTTTTCAATTATTCGATTTTACAATTTTTGGGTTTTCCAATTTTTCGATTCGATTCGTTTTTTTTTGTTTCATTAATTTTTTCATTAATTGATTTTTTCTCGATTTTTGATTTTCCAATGTTTCAATTTTTCGTTGCTTCAGTTTTTCGATTTTGCAATTTCTTCTTTTTTCAGTTTTTCGATTTTCCATTTCTTTCTGATTTTTATCTTTTCAATTTTCGACTTTTCTAATCAAAAAATAGAAAAATTACAAAATTATAAACTTGACAAGTTGAAGAAACGAAATGTAAAATCGAAATATTGAAAATTAAAAAAATCGGAAAATCGATAATTGAGCAATCCAAAAATTGCAAAATTGAAAAATTAAAAATTGGAAAATCCAGGAATTACAAAATCAGAGTCGGATACGAATTTGAAAAATTGAAGAAACGAAAAATTCAAAATGATGATTCAAAATTGAAAAACAGTCCAAAATCGCAAAAATGAAATACATATATATATTGTAAAATCGAAATATTGAAAATTAAAGAAATCCGAAAATTACAAAATTTAAAAATTGGAAAAGCAAGGAATTAAATAAACGAAAAATTGTGATATAGAATCCAGAAACTGAAAATTTAAAAATCGGGAAAATGAAAAATAAAAATCAAAAAATTGAAAATTGGAAACGAAAAACTGAAAAATCTAAAAATTTAAGTACAGAAAAATTTCGAAGTTGAGATTGAAAACTTAAGAACATTAAAGTTGAAAAAACGTCAACAAAACAAAAGCGTAGCTTACGCTCAAAAAATAAAATACTAACTAATTGCAAAAAGCTGCTAACGGTGAGACCAATACAGTTTCCTCCCCCCAAAGTGGACCCGCCCGGCCACTTAACCTCCACTGTGACGTATTTTTCTTGTTCTTAAAGTGTTTCCACTCTACTTTTCGAGTAATTTAATAACAAATTAGAAAAGTTACAAATCTACTTCTAAGTAAACAAAAAATAGTAAAGTATACCCAGAAAAAAACTATTGCAGACAGAAAAATTCTGATAACATATTTGAATCCAGAACCCAATCACTCTTATTCACGGCTCAAAATTTTTGCTGATCAGTGTACTTGAAACGTTTTATCGCAAGATAAGATATCGACTAATGGCGGGGGCTTACTGTTACAAATTACTGTCAAAATGACGATAAAAAATGAAGAT